AGCCTCTTGACTATGAAAACTAGTAAATAAAGGAAAAGAATCATGCACTTATCTAGCTTTTCCTATATGAATAGTAGCACTAGGCAACCAAAAAGTGGATATAGGTAAATTAATGTATTTTGGCCAATAAGAAAGCATTGCTGTTAATAAATTAAGATTATCATCATTCTGCAATCACTAATGAATTAATAGACCCAGCAGTTATTATCATTGGCTGCTAACAACACAATAAAGAAAGATAACTAGACACTATGTCTCTCCTATAAAGAAATTCTGCAAAAAAAATTGAACATGAATCTGAGTATGCTTTAGATCAAATTACCAATTTATCAAGTTATGGGAAACACAGTGGACATGTGTTTAAGGATGGAACTAGAAAAGTTTAAACTTGAAAACTCAAGAGTACAAATGACTAAATTTTCTTTAACAAAAAAAAAATTGCACAAGGGAGAAAGACAAAGAGATGCAGAAAAAGTGCATAAATCAAAAGAAGTTTTAGCAACATCTCAACCAATCACAAAGTGTTGACTTTATTTGGCTCCTAACTCAAACGAAGTGCTAAAAACAGTAAGATATTTATGGGACAATTGGAAATTTGGAAACTAGATATTTGATATTAAAGAATAATAGTTAAAGAAAAAAAATTAAGTGTAATAATGACATTGTGGTTTTTTTCCTTAAAAAAAAAAGGTCTTTCTCTTTTGGAGATACATACTAAAATGATATACCATGAACTTAATTACTTAAAATAGTATGATAATGGGGAATTTGACGGATACAGATGAAGCAAGATGAATAAGAGTTGATAAAATTTGAAGGTGGAAGAGAAATTCATGGGGATCATTATTTTATTTTGTCTACTACTATAAACATTTAGATTAACTATAAGAAAAGATTTTTTAAAGAGGAAGAATGGGCGATGATCCTGATGCTAACTTCTAAGTAACACAGGGTGAACCACCCCAAGACTAGAAGTTAGGTGAGATGCCTTGGAATTGTGGGATCCACTTTTGGAAGTCCTCAGGGAACCCTACGCTAAAATGATCCAGTCAGAATGCCTCAGTTTTCAGAGACCCTTAGATCCGATTACCAACTCAGAGCACCTCACTGTCACTGCCGTCACTTACAAGGGCAAAGGAGGGCAGCTGCTGCTTGCTGCCTACACACATTCACTACTGATAAATGCAGAATGGACACACCACGACCACATTGTGACCAAATGTCTCTTCTACAGTGAGAAAGGGTCCTTTTTCCAACAAAAACCAATCATGGCAATGCCATCCACGCCAACCTGGAACTAACTGGTTCCTACATCAGGCAAAACCTCTCTGTCCAGATACAGGAAGAAGTTTATTTTCTGTTCCAGTAGAGCTACAGGTAATAGGCCCTGGCTCCTGAATGAAATAAAAATGGGTGCAATAGATACTGATCTTCAACATTAGACTTGTCAAGGGTGTTTCAGCACCCAATGATTGTATACTCAGGGTTAAAGTGAGAGTAAAAGTTAGGATGAAGGTTATGGTTGGGTTAGGTAAGGATGAGGGTTAGGATTAGGGTGAGGGTAAAGGTGAGAGTTAGGTTTAGGATGAGGTTAAAACCAAAAAAACCAAACTCACTGACATTGAGTTGGATACAACTAATAGCAACCCCTCCCTGGTTTCCAAGGCAGTATCACTACAGAAGTAGATTGCCCAATCTTCCTTCCAAGGAGAGGCTGGTGAGTTTGAACCACCAGCCTTCTGATTAGCAGTCAAATGCCTTAGGCACTACACCACCAGAGCTCCTAGGATTAGTTTAGGGTGGGGTAAGATTGAGGGTTAGGGTTAGGGTGAAGGTTAGGTGAGGTAAAAGTAAGTTGGAGGGTAAGGGTGAGATAGGTGAAGATTAAGTTAGGGTTAAGCTGAGGTAAGGTTTGGGATGGGAGTGAGATTGAAGGACAAGAGTCTGGGTAAGGTGAGAATGAGGGTAAAGATCAAGCTCTGGATCAGGATGATGAGAGGGTAGGGTAAGGGTGAGGATCAGGGTGAGAGTCAAGATGAGGTGAGGGTGAAGGTTAGGGTGAGGTGAAGGTGCAAATTAGAGAGACCAAATGACAAGAGGCCTAATAAATGTTGCTTTAATGAACAAATGACTAAAAGATTCCTAACTATGAGATAATAAATCCCCCATGACACTCAGTGTTGGATGAACAACTAGTCTCATATAACATTTCTCATGTCTTTAAAAAGGAGCTTTAGTGGCACAGTGCCTAAGACATTTGACTGCTAACCAGAAGGTTGGTAGTTCAAACCCACCAATCACTCCACAGAAGAAAGACCAGGCAATCTACTTTCGTAAAGATTTACTACCTCGGAAACCCAATAGGGGTTGCTATGAGTTGGAATCGATTCAATGACAGTGGGTTTGTTTCATTTTGTTTTGTTTTTGGTATGTCCTTAAAACACTTAATATTTGATTTTTAAGACTTAAATATTTTTAATGAAAGAGATATCCTAAGCTTTTATAGGAATTAAAAAAACATTAAAAACATAATAAAACAATTTTGAGAAACATTTTATGTAACCTATAAAGGATGCACTTCATTTATACAAAATTACATAGTACTGACTCAATTATTAAGGAAGAATGCACACGTACAGCTGAGAACAAAGACTGGCATCCAGTAGTCCCTAAAATACACCTGCCAGCATTTACTGCCCTCTTACACCCCATCAAAAGGTTGTTTCCTGGGAAGAAGTGCCAACTGCAGTTCATTATAACAGGACTTGGGCTAAAAGAGATATCCTCCAATTTCACAAGCACAAACATGTCCTCAAGAAGGTCATAGTCAACTAAGGAGACATATTGCTCTATGTGATGGCTAATTTTTTGTGTCAACTCAGCTAGTTGTTTGGCCAAACACTAGTCTTGTTGCTGTTATAGAGTATGTGATTAAATCATTTGGCTGTAAATAGAACAGATTATTTCCCATATGTAATATAATGTAATATAATTACCTTACATGTCATATAAGGTAATCACCTTCCATAATACAATAGCCTTTCCATAATGCAACCTAATGTGATGTTATCAATCAGTCAGTTGAGATCATACCAGTGTAGGGTGGATCCGAAACCTAATCACTTCTGACTTATAAAAAGATAAGGACAGAGAGACCCAGACACAGAGGGGAAGACAGACAACATCTGATGACCCATCTACAAGCACAGGACCAACCGCAGACACCAGAAACTAGAAGAATCAGACACAGAAGGAATCATCACTGTCAAGACTTTGACTTGAATTTGTAGCCTCTAAAACTATAATAAAATAAATACCTGTTGTTTAAAGCCACCTATTTCTAGTATTTCTGTTACAGTAGCACCAGGTAACTAAGATACTCAATAAACGTTACAGTACGTGGGAGCAGCACTATGCCACTGACAGGTATAGGCATACTGGACACACAGGAGAGTGCAGGGTAGTAAATTACTTAGTGTGGATTTTCTACCCATAAGTCTTTGTAAACTCCAAGGTGGGATTTGCTATGAGCAACTGAGGAGCTCCTGATTGCTAAAGTTGTCCACCTGGTGTATTTCTGTTGAGCGTGGCACAAAACAATGTTCTGGGAGGTTCCCACTCTCTCTCAGGTGCTTAGAGTTCTGATGCTGTGACTGGCTAGTTTGATCACTCTGCCTGGCTTAAAAGGAGGCCTCCTAGAGGCAGAAATCTCTCTGACTGCTGCTAAGGAAAGATGCATTCCTGGGAGAGACGTGCTGCTGAAAGAGACACGTGCTGCTGAAAGAGACACGCGCTGCTGAAAGAGACATGCGCTGCTGGGAAACAAACTCAAGAGACACGCATTGCTGAGTGAGACACTGAGGGGCATGCACTGTTGGGAGAGAGACTGTGAGAGACTTTGGCTGAGAGACAGTGGGCTGGGAGAGAGACTGAGTGTGTTCCTGACTTGAATTATAGCGTGGTGCTTCCCTAATAAACCCAATAATCTGTGAGTTCTGTGTGGCCACCGCAGTGAATTATCAAACCCAGGAGAGAGATTGGTGGGTGCTTTGGGAGAAACGGTTGGTGAAAGAGCTGGACGGAGGAAGCATGTCTGGCCTTGCAGGAATAGGCCTTGGGCTATTGACGGTGATTCTGTCTTCCTTTTGTGGGGTTCTAGGAGGTCAGAGTATGTGGTCTCCTTGTCCTTTTAGCAGAGAGGTAGAAATTAATTCTGCCTAAGGAGCTCAGAGGAATCCCTGGTAGTGCAAATGGTTAAGTGCATGACTACTCACCAAAAGGCTGGCAGTTCAAACCAACTTTTGGAAGTAAGGTCTGACAATCTCCTTCAAAAAGGTCACAATCTTGAAAAATCTATGGAGCAGCTCTACTCTGCATACTTGGAATCAACTCAGCAGCAACTAACAGCACCAACAATGGAGCTCAGAAAAGTCCCACAGAAGAAATGATATATCATTTGGATGTTGAAGAAAGAACAGAAATTGACCAAGAAGATAAATGAGGAAGGAATTCTTCAGACAAACAAAACAAGTCTACAATCAATCTCTGTCTCTGTCTCTCTTATGTCTTCTCATGAATAAAAAGCAACCTACCAAATTTAGACAGACCTAACCTAGACTTTTAATCACTGTTGAGCTTTCACCAAATTTATTTGTCTTTAGCTCATCACCTATTCATAGTATCTACAAAAGTGACCTGCTGAATTTGCAGAGGCAGTAGAATTTTTACAACAGTAATAATACTAAATGAAAGTTACATTGTAGATTACCTTTATAACCAATTGCTCATGCAAGACTGTGCATATTACAAGCCCATTAAAGTAGGTGAAGCTTCATGTGCTGTCCCAAGCTCACGTTTCACAAAGCGCTGCTTTTTTATTTTAATACAAGCTGATATAATTCAAGAGCTGTGCATCACCCTTTAAACTAAGCCATTTTCAGTAAATTGCTGGATATTTTATATAAACAACAAGAATCTTACTCCAGGATTCTTATTCTTACCTCCATAGGAAAAGCTTTGAAATTAACAGTGTGCTCAGAACCACGCTGGTTTTCTCTACCCCAATGAAATCTTACTTCATACAGTTCAAATTCATGCCCTTGAGGCAACGGTCCTCCTGATAGAACTGAAAAAGAAAATAAATTCTATTTAATTGCATCTCAAACATATTTATTAAAACAGCATTAGAAACACTGGGGATATTTTTTGCCAAAATCCTCAAGCGTTCCTAGATTAAATTCATACAGCCAAAAGGAGAAATACACCACAACTGTGAGGTCAATTTATACTATCTGGGTTTGGCTGAAATTCTTGTTTTTGCCATTCACATATACTAGAAGTTCAAACACTCTGAAGTACTTGGTAATGATATGTATATTTTAGCTCTTTGTGTATTTTGGATATAAGAGTAAAGAAGGAAAGCAAACACAGTAGCTATATCTATCTTCCCTAAGACTTAAGTTAACATGACCACAAGCCAAGAATATGGTCTGTGTCTCAGAATGATCAATAATTGACTGTAGACCTATTAATAAATCAACCATGTTTACAGGTCAACCATTAGTCTTAGCAAGCTTTCAAGCTAGAGGACAGTTATGGGTGAACAAAATTATCTACAAAGAGAACTATTATTCAAAAAGAGACAGAAGACTACTATTAAGTCAAATTGATTTTTCAACAACAAATCACACTTAAAAATCAGATCACCATTCAGCATCACAGGCAGTGCAAATAAAGTAACACTACTATAAAATATATTTTTAAAAATTTGCCATTGAGTCAATTATGACTCATGGCAACCTTCTATGTGTCAGAATAGAATCGCTCCATAGGATATGCAGAAGATGGTTTTTTGGAAACAGATCACTGGGTCTTTCTGCTGAGGCATCTCAGGGCGGACTCAAACCTCCAACCTTTTGGTTAGCAGCCAAGTATGTTAACTGTTGGCATCACCCAGGGAAACCAATAAAATATTGACAATCCTCAAAGTGTTAACACTAGTATGACAGGGCTCTGTCTTTATTCTGGATATGATTCAGAACTCTGTCCCAACAGCACACTGAAGGAGATGAAAAACATGTTTGTAAAAGCAATTCTCATGAAGAAATAAAATGTTTTCTTCAGTTAAACATGCCTAAGTAAAAACTTCAGATGCAGTTTATTAAGCATAAATGGTCATTTTCATCACAAATGTAAGTTATCTTAATTCGGGGCACTCCGGCTCTATATACTCTCAATTCTAAATGGTCTCATCTAAGAATTGTGTATTACTTTTAGTCAAGGAGCTAATAAAAGTCACTCCTTCTGCTTTACCACTTCCCAGACCTAAAAGAGGTGCTTTAAAACAGATTATCATCCATACTTTGGTTGCCTTTGTGGAGGCAGTCTGCTCTCTTGAGAAAAAAATATCGTTATCCATTCTTACTCCTAAATTCAAAAAAGAAAGCTAACTGGTGCAACAATATTTGGATGGATCTTCATCTAAGGACTTGTCCTAAAAAATACTGCTGCCTATTTATATCAAAGTACAAATACTATAGCAAGATGACATAAATTAGAAGAAAAGGCAAAACAAAGACAGAGGCAAAAAATAGACTGAGAAATGAGGCTATTACACGAAATTCATGTCACGTAGCCCTTGTTAAAGGTGTCCTACAAATTTAGTTCTAAGTTTTCTAATAGCTCAAACCTAGAAGAAACAGAACATCGGTAGGAAAAAGAGATATTTGTTTTCTAGTGGATAAGTTTCATATGGAGAAGAAAGAGACAAGATGCATGGCCTTTAGATTAACACTACTTCACTTGGTTTTAAGGTTCTGACTCATTCTTGGATTATTTAAGTCTCATAACAAATACAAGGATTCAGCGTCATCCACTGACAGGAGAGAAAAAAGCAGCTGAGAGGACTAAGAGTGGCCTGCCCCTGTCACCTAGTGCCAGAAGAGAACTGGAAACTCAAATCTTCTGACCCCCACATCCCAGTGGTGAGGCCAGGATGGTGTGGTAGCTAAATTATGTGTCAACTTGGCTTGGCCTGGTTGTGAGTGGCTGGGCAGCTGGATGTAGTTATTTCCCATGATGAGACTGGTAATCAACTCCATGATGGAATCTACCAGAGCAGCTCAGTAGCTGTCTTACGGATATGGTCTGCTTCAATATATAAGAAGAAGCTTTGAGGAAGGTCTCTAGCTTTTCAGCATGCTTGGACCCTGCATGTAGCCGAGTCTTTATTCAGCAGCCTGCCATCTTTCCCGCTAATCTTAGGACTGTCTCTAGACTTGAACCAGTGGCCTGCCATGTGTTTGGTAATCTTAGGACTGTGCCATTTTACTTGTCAACCTTGGGTTTGTCAGCCTTAGGAGTCAGCAGCTGCCAGAGTGAAGACACCTCAGCAGCGCCAGTGGGCCAGGAGCAAGAGGCTGAGCTGAAGCTCAAGGTCGAGGGGATTTCACTCAGTCCCTAAAGCTGGCACTTTGAACTCAGACTTCTAGCCTCCTAAACTGTAAGAAAATAAATCCTTTTTTGCTGAAGCCACTCATTTGTGGTATTTCTGTTAGAGCAGCACTAGAGGACCAAAACAGATGGAAAACCCAAATTTCAACATCTGTGAGCATTAACTACAAAATAATTAATTCTTAAAGTTTATATTTCTAGCTACCAGTCCCTCCTTGGAGTATTACACCTCATTTTATTTCCCAATATAATCAAAAAAATAAACAAACAAATAAATATATGGATCTAAAGGTTTACAAATACTCCAAACTTTATCACAGGCTCTTCCTCTTCCCTAACAATTCATTCTGTGAATTTAAAAATATGAAAATGTTTCTATTCCAACATGACTACCTGTTTCTGGGTAACCACACAACTAATCCTTTCCTGTGGTTTTCCAAAGTTGTCTTAAGAACTGAGAGGCAGATACTGCATCTACCCACTGTTCACACAACCCCCAAGCCAAAAAGAAAAAGAGAGGAAAAGCTTCTTTGGGCCTGGTGCCATACCCTAGCCTGCACCACCAGAACTACAGAGCATACCCCTTCTCCCCTGCAGAGACTCTGGTGTGAATTCAGCATCATTCTACATTCAAAAGAAGGTGACCAAATGGTCTTGCAGGAGGCACAAGCACCACATTCTAAGGAAAAAGTAAGAGGAATATAGTGTTCCGGTTACGTAGTGCCGCTCTGATAGGAATATATACCACAAATGGGATGGCCTTAACAAACAGGAGTTTGTTCTTACAACTTGGAGGCTTTAAGTCCAAGTTCAAAGTGCCAAACTCTAGGGGCTGGGTAAAAGCCCCTCAACCTTGGGGTCCAGCTCTGCCTCCTGCTCCCAGCCCCCTGGAGCTAGAGGCTTTTCTTCACTCAGACAGCTGCTGGCTGCTGAGGCTGACAAACCCAAGGTTGACAAGTAAAAAGGCACAGTCCCAATGTTACCAAACCACATGGCAGGCCATTAATTTAAGTCCATTGTAAGTCCCAAGGTCGGCAGAGCATGGCAGGCTGCTGAACAATGACACGGCTACATGCAGGATCCAAGCATGCCATAAGCTAGAGACTATCCCCAAGGCTTCTCCTTATATACAGGAAGCAGACCACATCCCAAAGGCAGCTACTCAGCTGCTTGTGGTAGATCCCACCATGGAGTTGATTGCCAGTCTTACCATGGGGAATAACTACCACCACCTGCCCAGCCACTCAACCAGGCCCAGCCAAGTTGACATACAAACTGACCTACCACAATTCTACCCCTTGTCAACTTGGCATCTGTACAGATCTCTCTCACTGGGTGGCTCCAGTCCCCTAGCTCCTCTGACTGGCAACCTCACCTCCTTGGCCTGGCAGGCCTGTTCCTCTCCCTCTTGGGCATGGCAGCCCCTCCCCCTCACTCTTGGGCAGCGGCTATGGCTCCATCCCACTGGCTCACGTGAACCAGCAGCTCCACACTCCAGAACCCAGCTGGTAAAGACCTGGCTCTTTGAAACCTAGGGGACTGTGGTGGTTCCACCCCCAAAGGCCATGGTCCTACCCTTTCAGGCTGAGACAGCTCTGCTTGTTTCCTTGCTCTCTCTGCTTCGACCGATTAATGCCAAGGGCGACCCATTCCAATGGAAAACTTTCTGCCCAAAAAGCACTCGGCTTTCTTACTCCGTGGGCCGGCCAACCTGCTACTCCATTTTATGCTGGTTTTCTCTACCAATTAACGCCCAAAGGCAACCCACTCTGCCAGGAAGCCGTCTACCCGATGGCACCCAGGTTTCTCCTCCATGAGCTGGTAAGCCTATTGTTGTATAATGCTGGTCTCTGGGCTCTGCTATTGCCCTCTCTCATGCTGGCCTGTTGGCTCTGCTCCTGCTGTCTCTCATGCCATTCTCTTGGCTGTGCTCTTGCTGTCTCTCATGCTATATGCCAGGGTCTCGGGTCAAGGATGTACTCCACTCCTGTTTCCACATTTTAGGTATCTGTCAGAGCAGCACCCCACTCTCAGTACCATATTCTGTTCTGGGTACCTAGTGCCACTCTGACAGGAATATATACCACAAATGGGATGGCCTTAACAAACAGGAGTTTATTCTATTTCAGTTCAGGAGACTAGAAGTCTGAGTTCCAAGTGCCAGGCTCTAGGGGCTGTGTGAAAACCCCTCGACCTTGGGCTTTAGCTCTGCCTCTTGCTCCCAGCCCACTGAAGCTAGAGGCATCTCTTCACTCAGGCAGCTACTGGCTGCTGAGGCTAACAAGCCCAAGGTTGACAAATAAAATGGCACAGTCCCGATGTTACCAAACCACACAGCAGGCCGTTAATTTAAGTGTATTGTAAGTCCCAGAATCAGCAGAGCATGGCAAGCTGCTGAACAACAACACAGCTCCACGCAGGGTCCAAGTGTGCCATAAGCTAGACACTATCCCCAAGGCTTCTCCTTATATATGGGAAGCAGACCACATCCCAAAGGCAGCTACTCAGCTGCTTGTGGTAGATCCCACCATGGAGTTGATTGCCAGTCTCATCATGGGGAATAACTATCACCAGCTGCCCAGCCACTCAACCAGGCCCAGCCAAGCTGACATACAAACTGAACTACCACATCTAATAAAACAAAGCACATGTGAAACAGAAAAATTCATTCCT